TGTTTCTATATTAAAAATGTATATTTTATTTGAAAATCTTTATTGTGTCCCCTTAAAAAAAGCATACAAAGCTTATAAGATGAATAGAAGTAAACATAATGATGAAAAAAAAATATTTTTATTGTACTAATAAATCAAACAATATAAAATAGGTAATAAAATATAATTAATATAAAATTATTAATATAAAATAAGTAGGTAATAAAATATATTTAATAGATAATTCATGAATAAACTAAAATAAGAATAATTAATTATTTTGTATGAAAGTTAAAACGTAGTTTTATTCAACGTAGTTTTTACTATAATTTCCAAAATATTTAAAATCAGAGGTAACAAATTAACTTACTCCATTAATTATATAGTCTCCCATTAATGTAGGATAATCACAGACACGGAAAAGTGGCAACATTGAACTTAAATGGCAATATTCGATAATTTTATATTTATTTGAGGTTTTTTACGTTTATATGAAAACAAGAACTAAAAATTATATGTTGAAAGTGATTTCGCTTGATTTATTACGTTTTTGTGACCTTGAATAGCATTCTTTCACTACGCAATTACCCATTTTTTTGTCGCGGCTCAACTCGAATATCTGAAACGAATATCTGAAATGTAATTGATAGAATCAGGCGTTACTTTGCGGAAATCCATTATAATAAAAAAAAAATAAAAATATAAATTTCTTTGCAACTTTCCGCTAAACATATAAAATGATGTGTCTTACCTGGATTGAAGCGCACCTCCCGCCCTCCCTCAATTGCATACACTAACTCCGTCACCACTAGACCAAGCACCACTACTCTCAACACCACTATTCCAGGCAAGACACACCATCGACGATAATACGACACGTGTTTCGCCTCTACACGAGGCATCCTCAGGTAATATAGACTCTACGGTGGCTGACCGCTAAGAGTTAGTGTATGCAATTGAGGGAGGGCGGGAGGTGCGCTTCAATCCAGGTAAGACACATCATTTTATATGTTTAGCGGAAAGTTGTAAAGAAATTTATATTTTTATTTTTTATCTGAAATGTAAATTTCAGTATCAGGGTGATTCTCATAATCGTTGTATCCGTTCTGCGGAAAAGTCTAATCTCCATGTCCCCCTCTGTCACACTAGCTTCTTGTATAAATCTTTTACGTCTCATACGGTAAGATTGTAGAACGAGCTACCGAGCAGTGTACGTGCAGCCACGAGCAAGGTATCGTTCAAACGCTTGCTCTCGAATCACTTTCTGGCGTTGCAGGAGTAGTTTGTGAATATATATATATATATATATATACATATAACATAAGATACAGACATAGTAATATAAGTATAAGCACTTCTTTCAACGTTTCTTCTAATACCTCACGTGCGCAGACATTTCGTACATTCTATCGCACCACTCTTAGGCTTGCAAATCCGCTTCAATTATTTTAAACGATAATGCAAGAACAGCATTCCGGGCAGTCAAATTCCTCCTAGATATCCTATCTTCATTGAAGTAAAATTATTGCGTTACATTAAAATTTACTTTTTAACCGTGTAGTTTAAGATCATCCGCTATCCCAATTCGTCCCGTGGGACGGCATAAGAGACGTCAGAGGGAAAGTGAAACAGAGGACGGGCAGTAGCATCTTCCTGATAACAACTCAAAACAAACAACTGCCAACCCGCCCGCCAAGCGTGCGGTCGCAAACTATAGCAAGGTCGACCCTATAAGCCAATCTGTGGGTGCATGATGTTCAGCTGTGGACTTTTAAGACCGTTATGGTATGGATCGTACGGTATGGTATGGTATAATAACAACTTTTAACTTCTTTGATATTTTATTTTAATTTATTAGAAATCACATTATGTCAATATGACGATAAATTTCATCACAGCACTAAAAAAATCAAATATTCTCAACTTACAAATATTATTATTTCTGTTGATACTTATATAAAAATTCAAATTCACTTTAATATGGCTATCATTTAAAAATTAATATTTTTAACAATGCTTCATTTTGTTGTAAGTAGTGTTCGACCGAAAATCGATTTCTGGCCGAAGCCGAAGCCAAAGGCTTAAACACCCAACCTTCAGTTCAAGATGGGCTAAAATTAAAAATTAATTACAGTGGAATCTATAACTCGAATGTCAAGGGAAATGCCAAAAAATTCGAGTTCACAAGTCAAGAACTTCGAGATACATATGATTTAACTGGTGAAACTTCGACTTTCAGAGGCGCGATTTCTTAGTATATTTTTTATTTGTAGAGTTTTATTTGAATAACAATTAAACTTAAGTTTTATAATATACATTTTTTACATATTAAAACAAATTACAAATTATTGAAGTAACCTGTACACTAAAAAAATCCGTTATCTTCTTTTGATTTAAACTATTTGCAGATTTTTATCAATGATATTATAAGAAAAAAGGTAGATAGGTTATACGCGCACCGCAAGTGGCACGAGAAAACTAGGCTAATTAGCAAACCTGAGCTCAGTCGTCTCTAGTGTATACACAGTACCTAATCTATGGTCGTCGCGCTATCGTCGCGTCATTGACAATGGTGTTGATAGTAATTCGTGTTTTGTTTTTGCACCGAAAATGCAGTCATATGTGATGAGATTCTGCACAAACTACAACTACAAGAAAGGTTTCCAAAAGTCAAAAGGAATCATATTTCATTCGTTTACTATTTCCTTAATTTATTTTCTTATTGTTTACGAATTAAAAAATTACGTATTTTAAAATGTATTGTCAGAAAAAATACAGAGAGATAAAAATACCCCAATGAGTGAGTTTGAAAGAGAAGTGATATTGTTTCTGATCAAAGAATATAAAAAAACAGATAGATCTTTTCTGAGTATCGTAATTCACATATAGTTATTGTTTTATTGAAGGGGTAATAGATTAACTATGTCAATTTTAATTAATAAGCTCAATTTATTTGTTTTGTAGCGTAGCGAAGTGGTATATACGTTCGTATATAAATAATTATTAAAGTACTTTATTTGATAATAAATTTTTAATAAAATCAATAACTTTTTTTAATTTACTACTTTTAATGTATTTTTACTACTTTATTTTTACTTATTTTACTTTCTTTTACTACGGGCACTCAAGAGTGAATCGCGTTTTAGGCACAAATCACGGTGTACGGTATAATGTCGTATCTGATTAATTATTCTACATCGTTTCCACTACACAAGACCAGGCACTGTCGCAAATTACGTTTGTCTCTTTAACGCTTGTGAAAATTTAATCATGCCATTCTACTTTGAAGTCTATATTACGACGAATATTTAGTTATATATGTGTGCGTTAGTGTGCCGTTTTTGAAGATCGAATATTGTGTAGGTAAGCTATCTACACCTTTTTACTTATAATATCATTGTTTTTTATCAATTATTTTTTAAAGGTCAGCCAAAGCCAAAATAAATACTGATGGAAAAGCTCTGCTAAAAGTAATCGTGTCCTGTGTCGACAACGAACAAACATAACGTATACAGCTGTGTTACTTAGAAAGTTTTATGAATGTATTCATTCATTGTACGTGTATAAGACAAAAACAAAAGTTTAAAAGTGCCGAACCCGAACATTTATTTTGGATTTTATTGCTATAATTTTGGGGAATTCCAAGTAAGACTCGCTCATTTATAACAGTTCGGTCAATTTCGGTACTTTCCAGAAATCTTCGGTTACGGCCAAAACTTCGCCCATAATGACCGAAGGTGGTTTTTTGGCGGAAACCGAAGCTTCGGTCAGACATTGGTTAAAGTCAATAATTTAAGAACTAATTATTACCATAATAATAAATATCCACACTAAGATCCAACTCGGTAAATTAACCGTCATTGTTTAATTTCCATCCATTTTCAACAAGTTTAAAATCGGAAACGGAGATGACAGTAGTCTCGTTGAATTTCTAAGTAGGTAGGTAATATTGAAATAAAATTATTCGAGGTGGTAAAATCTTTTAAATAAAAAAGTAAAGCAAAATTTAAATAAAACTGGTTTTTATGGAAGCCTCCTCTCACATCTGAGATGCTTTTAGGGCAAGGGCAGTTCATCGCGCCGCCCCAATGCGTGTTGCCAAACTTCACTTGTCTTATAAATACATTTTTTTTATTTCTCAGACTTGCAGGTTCCCACACGAGTTTTGAGTATTAAAATCTTTATTACGCAAAATTCATTAAACTTACATTTTTATTTTAAATATTTTCTCATATCAGACATTGTTTTCGTGATAATAGTTATATTTATATACAATACCTTGTTTTTCGATAGTTCAACTATTCGCACAGACTACTGTAACAGAACTGCAATTTTTAACCCCGATGAAAACAGAGGGGTGTCGTATGTTTGGAGTGTGTATCAGTGTGTGTAAACGCCTGTCTGTGGCATCATAGCACCTGTCGTCTATGGTGTGAGCGGGGAGGGAGTTAGCACCCACCCCTGCAGAAACTTAAAGATTTTTGTATGCATTTTTGTACGATTAGTTTTTAATGTTAAGCTTTAGAAACGAAATAAGTCACCTAGGTTCTAAGAGGGTGTGGTTACACCCCCCCAACTCCCTTCGCCTGTCGTACATAGTTTTATGGACGTAATGTGTCGTCTGGTGTGAACCAGTTTTTGTAAACCCCTACTACATAAAATGTACGAACTTTATTTATTTATAACCACAACCAACCTCAAATTTAAAAAAATATGTCTTGAAAACTACATAAGTATTTCGGCGTGAAAAGTAAGCCAATCCAAAATTAGCAGACTTAACATGTCGTCGAAATATTCATAATTTTCTTATACTTGGAGGCCTACAATGCTTACAACTTAAAAATGCAATAAACAATTTTAAAACTGTTGTGTTTTGAATTTAGAAATCTTAAACAGGGTAAATTTTGAGCTATACTACGTTTTACCCTTAAATTTAAATATTAAAAATTTAAAACTTACCTTGAAACAATCGTAGATGCTCTGATTGATACTTAGTTAATACACAGAAATATTATTTTTAATCAGGTAGATAAATACGATTCGTCAGATTCTCCTGATTTGCAGACTAACGGTGGAATATTCTCCTGATCAATTTTAGCAGAATTACTTTTACTTTTTCTTAAACGACTTCGAAACATCTTGCTTTCATCGGCGCATTTAGTCGTTATAATCGTCCTGAAAAAAGATTTTGTAATAATTTTTAGATATATACTTACAAAAATTCAGTATATTTTATTAATAGTCGGATGTTGAATATAAGCTATACCTAACAACACTCTCTGGCACACAACAATTGTCAACAACAGTTTGTACGATGTCGTTCACAAGTGCGGGATCCAATCGCTTCTTTGCTGGCTTATTAGGAAATGCCGGTGACGGTTTGCCCGTAAGTGAATGTGTTGCCAGCACACTGAAAACATAAAGAAATACTTTATTTTCACACTAATATAATACTATATTATGTTAATACCAACGTTTATAAAGTTGGCAGCATTTAAAGGATTAAAATTACTTCCTAGGGAAAACAGCTCTCAATAATTTTCGAGTCGCATTTGTGTGAGTCGACCAATCCATATTTTTTAAAAGTCGACTAGGGACAAATGCATGTCCATCACCAATTGGAACCTGTAAATGAAATACTTGTTAAGTTTTTAACGTTACTTTTGTATCAAATCCTCAGAAAATAGACCACTTATTTCATCGATATCGCCATTATAAAGTTTATAAACTATGGATGAGTTTTCATTACAAACTGTTGAACATACGAATAGGCCTTCCCCGAGGAATGCCAAAAATGTTTATTTAATGATTTATAATTACAACTTACCAAATCGGCATTAGCATTTGTTTTCTTTTTTGTTCTTCGATTTGTTTTGTTATTTATTTCAGTGCCTTCAATAATTTTATTAGATATTTTGTGTTTCGATAATTTCTATAAAAGAAAACATGTGGTCAATTTTACTATTACAATCAAATTAATTTGTAACCTCTACTTTGAAGTAAAATTATACAAAACCTTAAATGTTATTGATTATATTATACATGATTCTAGTGCCAGAGAGTACGCGCGAACGCAGTGTGCTCTCTATTCTCTTACCTACTATCATAGTTAAATACACGCCGGAGAGAGATCAGGCACAGGACCAACAGCTTTTTATGTTTTCCAAGTCACGGTGGTGAAACACCACCAACTTTCTTCTTTTTATTTAATAAGGGTGACAAACGAGCACACAGTTCACCTGATACTAAGTGGATGCTGTGGCACATAGACCCCCGAGGATTGAGATGGAATGCCTTGTTTCCAGTAAAAAAGGGTCTCCGGATCTTTACACTCACCATACGAAACAAAGCAGCATGAAGCTGCTATTTCACGCTGGTATTCTGTGAGAGCGTGGTCCCTCCCCGGTCAGAAAAACCTAATACATATATGATTTTGTCCCGAACCGGGAATTGAACCCGGACCTTATGATCAACAATCGCATCTACGGCCACTAAGCCAACGCAAAGCAGTTGTTAGCCTTAAACCTGTATAGTGTACTCGTATAACGATATTGTGACATTAATAAGATAACTTTAATCGAATATACATTCATGTATTATTACTATCAAAATTTTTATTATACTTTTCTTAGTTTTTTTATTATTTTAAGTTGTTGCCAAGAAGATGCTGCTGGCCTCTACTGTTTGATTTCCCTCTGTCTATGACGGCACCCACGGGGTGGTTAAGGATTCTCTCGCATCCTCAATGCACGGTTAGTAAAAGAGCCGTGCTAGCTCAGTGGCTGAGCGCTCGCTGTAAACTTCACAGTACGCGAGCAACTCGGGTTCGATCCCCGCCGGCGCCAATGAAATTGTTAATTGTAATTTTCCGCGTTAATTTACCACGTGCTCGGCGGTAAAGGGAGACATCGCGATGAAACCTGCATATCTGAGCAATAAGAAAAAAAAATATTTTGAAGAAATGTAAAGTTCGCCAACACGCGTTGGGGCAGCGCGGCGGTTATTTCCTTGCTCTTAAACCTCTCAGAAATGAGAGGAGGCCTATGCCCAGCAGTGGGATGTATATAGGCTGTAACTATTAACTTTTAACTAATTTGCCTCACCCAATCACTATCTGCGCATATTGTATAACGTTTATGTTTTGACGACGACGTTCGAGGAACCGCAACATTTTCATCGCCACTGTCGCTACTGTTTAGATTACAAGACTTAGATTTTACATTGTTGCGCCCTTTTGAAGCATAAGATGTAACCGGTGATTTCATTTTTAATTTATTTTCCAAAGTCTCAATCTTAGCGCATAAGTCTTTGATAATTGACTCCATTTTATCGATTTGAGGTAGCTGATATTCCACTTCGGTTTGTGTGCTTCTATCACAAGTTTCCTTAATATCATTTAGTCCAGATTAAGTAATGACTTCAGACCAACATGCTTTTTGCGGCTTGACCAGTTGTTTTTTTTTTTTGAAGCAAACGTTTCTTGCAAGGCGGTTCCAGCCTTGTCGTAAACCGACTGGAACCATACTGAAAAAATAAAATTAACAATAAAAATTATAATTTATTTTCTACTATTTTTAAATAGAGCCCAAAAAATTATTTCTTCTCGTACCTGGGAGTTGCTTTTTAAGTAAGGCGTACTTGGTGATGTTTTTTGAACACTGGGGCCGGGACGGGTTGATTTCAAATTCGACTGTAAAATAGCAATGTTAAATTATAATAAAAATTCAATTAACTGTGTACGTTTCGACAGAATTGTAAGAAATTTATGTTTTAAACTTACTCTTCTTTTAAGAAACAAACTATTCAAGAAAAGGACTGCAGTTGCTGAACTTTCAACCTCCTCTTGAGCGGAACTATTAGCTGTAATAAAGTAAGATACATTGAGAAGTTGTTGTGTTCAATACAGGTATTTCTGTCATGAATATATTTATATTATGATAAAGATATCATCATGGACTAAGGCTGGTCTAATTCTATACTGTATAGTGGATGTAAAAGATTCCGCTGCCACATATTATCCATGTGTATTGTAAGTTTACAGTGTAGTGGCGGTGTAAGAATATCCACTGACCCATATATTCCCGTGGGTGTCGTAAGAGGCGACAAGGGAAACAAATCAGGAGGTGGTCACGTGGTCACGACGAACGTTGCACCACACTGAGTCAGAAGTGGTGCAACGTTCGTCGACTCACGATCGTAAAAAAATACGTTTTGGCATGCTCTGATCACGAATCTGCGGTCCATTTTTGCGTGGGATGCACGGTTCCGTAGATGTGCAGATCAATTAACTCTTATCTAATTGATATCCGGTGAGGGCCTCCACCGTCATTAGCGTCCCATTGTTTTTAACTATTGTTGATTGAACACCGTCATTGTCTATTCGTGCATCGGCTTATCAGTGTTATTGTATTATACTCCTTTGTTCCTAACTGCAACGCTAATCTGAATCATCAATAAAATACATTAACTAATTTTGTTACAATTTTTATTTATGAAATACAAAATCTTATTACTTATTATCTATAAAATAGGAGCGAAACATCTCATCCACTAAAATATCGTTGTACAATGTGTTCCCCGTAAATATACTCGTAAAACTATGCATTGAACATCCCTGAAACATATAGCAAATACATTAAGCAATATTCGCCACAAACTGAAGTCCACTCATTCTGAATCCTATCAACATTCCAGTTCCATCTTTTACAATTCCTTTTTAAAAACTCTAGATCAGAGTTCCCCAAACTTTTTTGTGTCGTAGACCCCTTGCCATGTTATTCAGTGTTGGGTAGTACATCCAAACACACACACGTGCACGAACATAAACACGCATGCGCGCACGCGCGCACACACATTTTCTAACAAGACATTCTTTTTTACTATTCTAATGATATTATACAAATAATGTATCTATATATGTTAAATATTGAAACATCCAACTAAATTAAATTTTTTGATTATAAAATTATAAGAGACCAGTAAGAGTACAAGAGTGGGAGTTTAATTGGGTGGAAAGTTTTATAATTCTGTAAATGTTCAAGCACAGAACCTTTCATTAGGCTTGCCTTTTCGATTTCCATAAATTATAAATTATATTTGTTATGATTGAATCTAATAAGTACATCTTTTTACCACTTGATAGTAAAACGTTGTTATCACTACTAGTACAGACCTATCTAATTGGCTTTGAGCTTCGAACACAGAACCCATAGCTCAGCAAGTCGGTGAGCTGTATACTGAGCCACGCGATTATTATTTTATATACGACCATACGAAGCTCATAAATTCTTTGTACACGGGCGACACAAAGTTTTTAGAAAATCAAAGTTGCTAATACTTATTGGTTATTGGTACTATTTATTATTCCTTGAAATAGTCTCCTTGTCTGTGCATCGTCGCATTTAATTAAACCATTGAGATAAGTGGGTTTCTCGATAGAAAAAAAAAACTGTAAAGTAGGCTCCAATTGGTTATCTGTCTCCATGCCAATAAAATATTTTTGCGAATACCTAAGTCTGTGAAAATATTTTAAAGCATAGTAAATAATCTTCTCCAAGTTCTCATAAACGATTTTTTAATTCTTGAGGCATATTTCTTAAAAAAATGTTGTGTGGCGCTTACTTGGTTTATTTCCGAGCGCGTACATGAAATACATTGCATCCTCAGATCATAGAAACAACAGTTGTTTTTGACATTTTCAAGAACATTTTGACACTCCCTCAATCGTCAGTGAGCTTCACCGACAAAGAGATAAGCCACGCCCCCAAAACTACGATTAATTTTCGAGGTATACTCTTAAGAAGATGAAAGTCTATGTTTTATAACCTTATCCGTCCATCATCCAGTAGCTGTGAATATTGCTTAGTGGTAAGAAAGACTCAGACTTATTACGCGATTCCAATTTGTTACGGTATACTGACACGTATAAGTTAGATGTGAACACCCAGAGAGGCGACAGTGACCAGCGTCAATGATGCTAGAGATGTGGTACTGTAATCGCGGGTCCACGTCTACAAAGTGGCAAATGGTATATTTATTTTTTATTTTTGTAAACTAGACCAACAATTATCGTAACAGTAATTACCGAAAGTGTAGTATCGGTATGCAGTAACACTTCTGCTTATAGCGTGATGCAGTTTTACAGGAGTGACCGAACCAAGACTGGGATCTGCCTCTGATGGGCACCACAGATGCCACACCACACCACAGTGCTAATAGATAGATAGATAGATAATTCTTTATTGCACTCGAATCGAAACGAAAAGATTGGTACGAAGGCGAACTTGATGCCGAAAAGGCATTCTGTTTAAGTTAACCTTTGTCAGTATGGGTAGAGTAAAATTACCTTATATACATACACACACATGCACGTAAGTTTATTATATATATATATATATATATATACATAAATATATATATATATATATATATATATATATATATATATATATATATATATATATATAACATGTAACATAATTAACGCACTTTGAGAAAGTAGTTTGTTCAGAATCGTTTACTGAATCGATTCCTATCATTTTTAATATAGGTAATTTCTTATCTCAAAAATAATTAAAACTACGTCAATTACAGTCACACTAATTCTGTACATGAAAACAAACTGAAATCGATCCTAACTTAAGGCAATAAGACTTTTAAAGTGCAGTTTGTTTATTACTACTAATTCTGACATTCATAAAAATAAAGAAAAATGAACTTTATTTCAGGCACCTTAAAGTCTTTGCGTTCGTGGATTTGTACTGCGGCCACAACATTCTTCCGGAATTAGTATAACTAATTTGATAAATAATGAGAGCATAAAAATGTTTAACTAAAAATTCAGTGTATGTATTGTGATTATAACATAATTTACTAATTGGGGTGTCTGAGGGTGTGCGTTAATTACGTTACATATGTATATATTATTATACTACTTATAATGTAATTATACTTTATACATACTAAACCAATAAAACACGTATAATCTGGTATAGGAATTTATACCTATATAAACAAATAACATTAATCAAGTAATTCTAAATAAATGTGCCTAACATTGATTTATATATTACACTAGATCAGTAGATAATAACCGCGCCAAAGCGTTACCACTGCAAATATGGCCACAGCCATATGCCTAGCTAACGTCAGTTCAGTGTTCAATGTGACGCCGACAGAGTTGAACCGCGACAAAAAATTGGTGAATGCGTAATGAAAGAATGCTATTCAAGGTCACAAAAACGTAATAAATCAAGCGGAATCACTTTCAACACATAATTTATAGTTCTTGTTTTCATATAAACGTAAAAAACCTCAAATAGTTAAATAAAATTGTCGAATATTGCCATTTAGGTTCAATGTTGCCACTTTTCCGCATTATATATATATATATATATATATATATATATATATATATATATATATATAATTAATGGAGTAAGTTAATTTGTTTTAATTATTTTGGAAATTATAATAAAAACTACGTTTTAACTTTCATAGAAAATAATTAATTATTCTTATTTTAGTTTATTCATGAATTATCTATTAAATATATTTTATTGCCTACTTATGTTATATTAATGATTTTATATTAATTAAAATTTCGTATAAATTTTATATTAATTATATTTTATTGCTTTTATATTAATTATATTTTGTTGCGGAACTGCCAACCCGCCCGCCAAGCGTGCCAACTATAGCAAGGTCTACCCTATAAGCCAATCTGTGGATGCATGATGAAGTTAAGACCGTTATGGTATGGATCGTACGGTATGGTATGGTATAATAACAACTTTTAATTTCTTTGATAATTTATTTTAATTTATAAAAAATCTCATTACATCAATATGACGATAAAATTCATCACAGCAATAAGAAATCGAATACTCTCAACTTACAAATATTATTAGTATTGTTGATACGTACTTCTATAAAAAATCAAATTAACTTTAATATGACTATCATTTAAAAATTAATACTTTTAACAATGCTTCATTTTGTTATAAGTAGTCTCCGACCGAAAATCGATTACCGACCGAAGCCGAAACCCATTAATTGGCTAACGCCACAACCTTCAGCAGCCGAAGGCTTAAAAACCTTAAGAAATTCAGTTCAAGATTGGCTAAAATTAAAAATTATTTAAATGATATAAAATTTTTTATATAAAAAGTTTATATCGACTATAATAAAAAAGGTAATTTTAAATTGATCTAGAGATAATAAAAATTGCGTAGCCACGTCCATCATACTCTCGCTCATTTGTAACAGTTCGGTCAATTTCGGCACTTGCTAGAAATCTTCGGCTTCGGCCAAAACTTCGCCTATTATGGCCGAAGGTGGTTTTTTGGCCAAAACCGAAGCTTCGGTCGGACACTGGTTATAAGTCAACAATTTAAGAACGAATTATTACCACGATAATAAATAAATATCCAAACAAAGATCCAACTCTGTAAATGAAAGTTCATTGTGTTATTTCCAACCATTTTCATACACGTTCAAACTCGGAAAAGAGATGACAGTATTCTTGTTGAATTTCTCAGGTAGGTAATACTAAAACAAAATTATTCGAGGTGGTAAAATCTTTTAAGTAAAAAAGTAAAGCAAAATTTAAATAAAACTAGTTTTTACGGAAGTTATATAAGTCCCACCGCTGGGCACAGGCCTCCTCGCACTACTGAAATGGTTTTAGGGCAGTCCGCCGCGTTGCCCCAATGCGTGTTGCCAAACTTCACATGTCTTCGAAATATATTATTTTTATTTCTCGGACTCAGGTTTCCTCGCGAATTTAGCGTAATAAAATCTTTAATTATTTGCGTAGTAAAATCTTAATTACGCAAAATTCATTAACCTTACATTTTTATTTTAAATATTTTCCCATATCACACGTTGTTTTCGTGATAGGTATATACAAAACACCTTATTTTTCGACAATTCAACTATTTGCACAGCCTACTGTAATAGAACTGCAGTTTTTGAACCCCGACGAAAACAGAGGGGTGTTATATGTTTGGAGTGTGTATATGTGTGCCTGCCTGTAGCATCATTGTCTGTTTTTCGTTTGAACGGTCTCTTAATCGTGAGTGTTCTAATAGCTATGTTGCGAGAATTTCTGTTAAGCCGTTCGGAGGTTTTTAAATTTTTTAATTCAAGTTATTTTTTGTATTTAAGTTCTACTATTAAGTCGTGAGTAGTAGTAATTAATTAGTTAGTCATACATAATACTAGACTGTTTCGCCAAATGCGATAGAGTCTGCCACTAAAGTATACTGCGGCAGAAGAATGCAAGTGGTCGGCTATGGTGTAAGCGGGGAGGGAGTTAGCACCCATCCCTGCGGAAACTTAAAGGTTTTTGTATGCATTTTCATACTATTCGATTAAGACCAAATCACCAACGAAATCGCAGGATACTAAAGCTAATCTCAAATTAGCGGATTTAACATGTCGTTGAAATATTTACAATCTTCTCAGGCTTGGAGGCTTGCAATGGTTACAACTTAAAAATGCAACAAACGATTTCAAAACTGTTGTGTTTTGAACTTTGAAATCCTAAACAATGTCATAAATCTTGAGCTACATTACGTTTTATGGATCCCTTAAGTTTAATCCCTTAAATTTAATCTTACCTTGAATAGTTAATTGAAATAGTTAATGCACGGAAACATTATTTGAAATCAAGTAGATAGATAAGATTCGGCAGATTCTTCTGATTTGCAGAATAACGGTGGAATATTCTCCTGATCGATTTTAGCAGAATTATTTTTACCTTTTCTTAAGCAACTTCGAAATATCTTGCTTTCATCGGCGCATTTAGTCGTTATACTGGCCCTGAAAAAAGTTTTTGTAATTATTTTCAGATATATACTTACAAAAAAATTCAGTATATTTCATTAATAGCCGGATTTTTATAAGCTATACCTAACAACACTCTCTGGCACACAACAATTGTCAACAACAGTTTGTACGATGTCGTTCACAAGTGCGGGATCCAATCGCTTCTTTGCTGGTTTATTAGGAAATGCCGGTGACGGTTTGCCCGTAAGAGAATGTGTTGCCAGCACACTGAAAACATAAAGAAAGGCTATATTTACACACTATTATAATACAATGTTATGTTAATACCAACGTTTATAAAGTTGGCAGAATTTAAAGGATTAAAACAGATTACCTCCTAGGGAAAACCGCTCTCAATAGTTTTCGAGTTGCATACGTATGAGTCGACCAATCCATATTTTTTAAAAGTCTGCTAGGAACAAAAGCATGTCCATCACCAATTGGAACCTGTAAATGAAATACCTGTTAAGTTTTTAACGTCACTTTTGTATAAACAATAAATAACAGTTGAACATAAGGCCTATGTTCTTTTGTATCTAACTTCAACTCAGAAAATAGACCACTTATCGTCATCACCATTATAAAGTTTATAAACTATGGACGTGTTTGCATTATAAACTGTTGGACATAGGCCTTCCTCAACGAATGCCAAAAATGTTTATTTAATGATTTATAATTACAACTTACCAAATCGGCATTAGCATTTGTTTTCTTTTTTGTTCTTCGATTTGTTTTGTTATTTATTTCAGTGCCTTCAATAATTTTATTAGATATTTTGTGTGTCGATGGTTTCTATAAAACAAAACATATAAAATAAATTTTACTATTATAATTATATTAATTTGTAATCTCTACTTTGCAGTGAAATTATATAAAACTTAAAATGTAATTGATTATATTGTTACGCGCTCCAGTCAACGATACACTAGCGCCATCTAGTGTCAGGAACGAGAGCGAGGGGAGCATTGAGAAAATGACATCACAAATCACTCAACTGACAGCGCCTAGTCGAAACTCGAACGCTCGGTACCTTCCGCGTGTTTACTTGAACATTCTGGATATTTCTTTGCTAATTCAAATATATAGGCGCTGCAAGATGCGATCGAGGCAGTGTTGATTTGGGCGAAACAAGCGAAGCTTCGGAGTGGAATTAAGTGAATTAGTGTGTTTAAATTATTAGTGTTTTAACTTTAAATTGCGTAAAGTAAATTAAAGTGTTAATTTAGGTAATTTTATCGGCAATTTTTATTGTCACGAACCTCAAGCTCGTAACAATTGGTGTCAGAAGTGGGATAAAATCATGCCGATTTTACCTAAGGAGGAAACGGAGGGTGTCCGTACCCGAAATCAACGCCAGCAGGAGACGGACCAAAGAAGATTTGGTGGTGCAACGCCGCTGACGTCGGAGGGCCAGCCGCCGGCTGCAGCCCCGTCAGTAGCTCCTCCATCTGCAGCACCCGATTTAGGTGCTCTGATGGTGATGCTGCAGGAACAGGCTCGCCGACAGGAGGAACAGGCTCGCCGACAGGAGGAACAGGCCCGTTGGTTGAAAGAGCAGCAGGAGGAACAGGCCCGCCGACAGGAAGGGCAGATGCTCCTCGTGAAGGACATTCACGCTAACTTCGGGAAAGAGATTAGGGAGGTGAAGGATAGGGTTGCTCAACATGACAACCGCCTGTCGGAAGCTGAAACCTAAATCAAGGAAGCTAAAACCCAAATCGACCAAGTAAACAATCGGGTTGATTACGTGATGGCTGACGTGAAGAAAACGCTGGACGACCTCAAACTTGGGGATGGAACGACAGCTCCCGTAGTAGCTACAGCACCTTCGCTACGTGGGTTCAAGGTGCCACCGTTCGACGGGACTTCTTCCTGGTCAGCCTACAAAATCCAGTTCGAGGCTGTTATGAAGGCGAACGGCTGGAATAAAAGTCAGGCCATGACTGCTCTCACACTAGGCCTGCGCGACCAGGCCTTAACAGTTCTAGAAGCTCTCGGTGAGGAAGTGACTTATGAGCAACTCCTTGAGGCATTGGAGGCGAGATATGGTGACGCTCACCTGGAACACGTCTTTCGTGCGCAGCTTAAAGATCGTGTGCAGCGCATCAACGAAAACCTGCAGCAGTGGGCTCTAGAAGTGGAGAAGCTGGTGCGAAAAGCATACCGGTCTGTACCTGCGCTCATTGAAGGGAACCTGGTGCAGACATTCATCGACGGCATCCGTGACCTGGAAGTCAGAGCTGCTGTGAGGCTCGGGCACCACGAGACGCTTAAGGACGCCTTGGCCCATGCACTGGAGGTAGAAGCCGTGCGGCAGGATCATCGTTCCCATCGCGTCAGGGAGGTTGCAGCAGTTACAGTTCGCGATCGCAACAGAGGATACAGCCCTAGGTGCTATGGCTGTGGGGAAAAGGGCCATCTTCGATCCAGCTACCCTAAACGAACCGTGGACAGGAGAGTTGATCGATCTCGAGAGGGTAGTGCAGCTAACGGCACTGCCTGGCGGCGACAGGATCATCGTTCACCTCACGCTAGGGGAGGTTACAGCAGTTACGGTTCGCGACCACAATAAAAGATACAGCCCTAGGTGCTATGGCTGTGGGGAAAGGGGCCATCTTCGTTCCAGCTGCCCTAAGCACACCCTAGGAAGGGAAGGTGAACGGTCTCAGAAAGGAAGTGCGGCTAACAGCACCGCCCAGCAGCAGCAGGAATACGACTTCACTATCAAACACTGCAGCGGGAAATCTCACGGCAACGCAGATGCATTGACAAGAAGACCTTGTCCTGAAGATTGCAACCATTGTAGTAGGCAAGAGAGTAAGGAAGTGGTATCCGTGAGGATGTTCAGGACAGACCACCTCAGCAACGGGTGGAAGGACAGCCTACGACATGCACAGCAGGAAGATCCGGACATCAAGCCGATTCTGGGATGGATGAAGGCCCGTGCTACCAAGCCTAAGTGGAGGGACGTCTCAGCGATGAGTTCAACCACGAAAAGCTATTGGGCCCAATGGGACAGCTTGCTGATTCAGGATGGAGTCCTGTGCCGTAAATGGGACCATGGTCGAAGGGACAGCTGTCGTTTGCAAATGGTTGTCCCTAAAGCTAAAGTGCCGAATGTTCTACAGCTGTGCCATAATGGTCGTTCAAGAGTCCATCTGGGAGTTAAACGAACTCTACTGAAGGTCCGAGAACAGTTTTACTGGGTCCATTATCGTGACGATGTCGAGGATTGGTGTCGTACATGTACAAGTTGTGCGGCCGTGCGGGGACCTCAGACACGTAGTAGAGGAGCACCGAAATTGTACAATGTTGGTGCACCACGGGATAGGACAGCCCTTGACATTGCGGAGCCGTTACAGAAAGGCGCAAGAGGGACTCCTAAGATCGTCCATGTGAATCGCTTGGCACGTTATTATGGGGCCGATAATGCTCGGGACGAGCATGTCTTAGGAGGGGGCAGTGTGGCATGAATAAGTCAACTAGCGCCATCTAGTGTCAGGAACGAGAGCGAGGGGAGCATTGAGAAAATGACATCACAAATCACTCAACTGACAGCGCCTAGTCGAAACTCGAACGCTCGGTACCTTCCGCGTGTTTACTTGAACATTCTGGATATTTCTTTGCTAATTCAAATATATAGGCGCTGCAAGATGCGATCGAGGCAGTGTTGATTTGGGCGAAACAAGCGAAGCTTCGGAGTGGAATTAAGTGAATTAGTGTGTTTAAATTATTAGTGTTTTAACTTTAATTTGCGTAAAGTAAATTAAAGTGTTAATTTAGGTAATTTTATCGGCAATTTTTATTGTCACGAACCTCAAGCTCGTAACAATATTATACTGGATTATAGTGCCAGTGAGTATGCTCGAACGCAGTGTGCTCTCTATTCCCTTACCTACTATCATAGTTAAATACTCGCCGGATAGAGATCAGGCACAGGACCAACAGCTCTATATGCTTTCCGAGTCACGGTGGTGAAACACCACCAACTTTTTTTTTATAGAATAAGGGTGACAAACGAGCACGCAGTCCACCCGATGGTAAGTGCATACTGTGACCCATAGACATCTACATCTATCCTCGATTAACAATCAAAACGCAGATGCGTTGTCACCCCTGAGGACAGAGATGGAATGCCTCGTTTCCAGTAAAAAAGGGTCTCCGGATCTCTATACTCACCATACGAAACACAGTAGCTATTTCACGCTGGTATTCTGTGAGCGCGTGGTCCCTCCCCGGTCGAGCCAGCCCATTCGTGCTACAACCATATTATAGCTGCAGCGTGGCTCCTGACTCCGAGTACTAAGAATTTTTTTAACAGAAAAGCCCAGTACGTATATGATTTTGGCCCGAAACGGAAATTCAACCCAGACCTTATGATGAACAATCGCTACTACGGCCACTAAACCAACGCAAAGCAGTCGTTAGCCTTAAACCTGTATAGTGTACTCGTGTAACGATATTGTGAAATTAATAAGATAATTTTAATCGAATATACATTCATGTATTACAAACTATCAAAACCTGGGGGAGGTTTTTGTTATACTTTTCTTATTTTAAGTTGTTGCCAAGAAGATGCTGCTGGCCTCTCCTGTTTGATTCCCCCCTGTCGTCTCTTACGGCACCCACGGGGTGGTTAAGGATTCTCTCGCATCCTCAATGCACGGTTAGTAAAAGAGCCGTGCTAGCTCAGTGGCTGAGCGCTCGCTGTAAACTTCACAGTACGCGAGCAACTCGGGTTCGATCCCCGCCGGCACCAATGAAATTGTTAATTACAATGTTCAGTGCTGATTTATCACGTGCTCGGCGGTAAGGGAAACATCGTGAGAAAACCTGCATGTCTGAGAAATAAGAACAAACAATATTTCGAAGACATGTGAAGTTCGCCAACACGCATTGGGGCAGCGCGGCGGATATTTCCTTGTTCTTAAGCCCTGTCATAAATGAGAGGTGGCCTACACCAGACAATGGGGCGTATATAGGCTGTAACTATTAACTTTTAACTAATTTGCCTCACCCAATCGCTATCAGCGCATATTGTATAACGTTTACGTTTTGACGACGACGTTCGAGTAACCGCAACATTTTCGTCGCCACTGTCGCTACTGTTTAGATTACAAGACTTAGATTTCACATTGTTACGCCCTTTTAAAGCGTAAAATGAAACCGATGATTTCATTTTTAATTTACTTTCCAATGTCTCAATCTTAGCGCATAAGTCTTTGATAATTGACTCCATTTTATCGATTTGAGGTAGCTGATATTCCACTTCGGTTTGTGTGCTTCTATCACAAGTTTCCTTAATATCATTTAGTCCAGATTAAGTAATGACTTCAGACCAACATGCTTTTTGCGGCTTGACCAGTTGTTTTTTTTTGAAGCAAACGTTTCTTGCAAGGCGGTTCCAGCCTTGTCGTAAACCGACTGGAACCATACTGAAAAAATAAAATTAACAATAAAAATTATAATTTATTTTCTACTATTTTTAAATAGAGCCCAAAAAAATTATTTCTTCTCGTACCTGGGAGTTGCTTTTTAAGTAAGGCGTACTTGGTGATGTTTTTTGAACACTGGGGCCGGGACGGGTTGATTTCAAATTCGACTGTAAAATAGCAATGTTATATTATAATAAAAATTCAATTAACTGTGTACGTTTCGACAGAATTGTAAGAAATTTATGTTTTAAACTTACTCTTCTTTTAAGAAACAAACTATTCAAGAAAAGGGCTGCAGTTGCTGAACTTTCAACCTCCTCTTGAGCGGAACTATTAGCTGTAATAAAGTAAGATACATTGAGAAGTTGTTGTGTTCAATACAGGTATTTCCATCATGAATATATTTATATTATGATAAAGATATCATCATGGACTAAGGCTGGTCTAATCCTATACTGTATAGTGGGTGTAAAAGATTCCGCTGCCACATATTATTATGATTCCATGTGTATTGTAAGTTTACAGTGTATTGGCGGTGTAAGAATATCCACTAACCCATATATTCCCGTGGGAGTCGTAAGAGGCGACAGGGGAAACTAATCAGGAGGTGGGCAGCAGAGTTTTCCTAATAACGACTAAAAATATAAAACTGCTCTTGCCAACAAGCTCCAACCAACCAAACGTAGCAAATATCCCCCTTTTGGGAAAATCTATGAAGGAGACTTTAGTCAGCAGTTCATTTTCGATGAGATGTAGGTAATGAATGACGCCAAAACATATTTTATTAAATATTTTTCGATTTTAAGATCCAAATACACATAATATGTTCCGACCCACACAGTAGTACATCCAAACACACACACACACACGTGCACGAACATAAACACGCATGCGCGCACGCGCGCACACACAATTTCTAACAAGACATTCTTTTTACTATTCTAATGATATTATCGCTATTCCAATATTTTTGATTTTATGGGAAAAGAAAATTACAAATTAATGTATTTAGAACAAAAAGATCTTGTATCGTTATATGTACTTAAATGTATAAATTTTGGTGAGAACAACTAAATTTATAGAGTCGGTTGTAGGTAATTATCATTGATTTATATATGTAATTATTGTCATCAATGGCCTTTGCGTCTATTTCAGACGGTTAAACACTGGTGGCTCAAAAGCCGACTATAAACACCGATCTGGATGCGGTGATAGAGTCAACATTCTGGGTGTGTCGCAAAGCAAGGATTGGGTATTCTAATTTTCGCAAAAATATGTAATTCTTTATAATATAACATTATGATAAAAGCATAATTTTAATATTCTTACATCGTTCAGGTTGTAGTTCTCTCATTTCTCCTTGTAATTCAAGGAGCGCTTCTGCTGCGTCAAGTTCGGGCAAAGTTGCTACAGTGACCATCGGCATTGTTGCTACAAGAGATTTCGAAGTTACTGGTATATATTACAAATAATAATGGATCTAATAGTTCTAAAAATATAGCGAAACATTTTCTATTTGTACCGTAAAGTTCAAATCATTAAGTAAGTATTATGATAAATGTACGTCGTTCCTTCTCTTATTAGACAATTAATATTGTAGGCACCACCCCCTAAAATAATTTCAGTAACGTCACCATGTCTCGATGCCTGACGGGTGCAATGGGATGTATTAAACATTACCGTTAGGTAAAATATTTAGCCGATATACAAAATTACATATTTTAACATATTATATATATTACAATATATTATACAATATTTTGGTATAAAATATATTTAAGTTGGAAAGAAATTTTTAAAGATTTTATTATTAAACTTTGTCAGGCTCATACTCATCAAAATCGGAATTCAGATGAACTACGTTATCTGAAAGATATTAGCAGCCTTTAATTGTTATGGGTGGTAATTTTTAATAAATTTTATAATTCAGACATCTTGTATAAATAAGTATAGAAAATGCAAATTAATCAATAAATATTTTGAGAGATATGAATAAATTGTATAATTAAATTAACATCAGTAATCTAGTATTTAAAATAGACGGACAAAATATATACAATTTTCCTATAAAATAGAATATTATATATTATATTATATTATATTATATTTAGTAATAACGTCATACTCACAGGTTAAAGCACTAGGTTTCACTTATGTAACGGACTTAAAACACAAATTTAAAAATACATAACTCCTCGTAATTTAGACGAGTTAACTAAGTAAGAATTCGATGAAAACTGTTTTAACATCTGTATGTACTTTTACAAATCACCTCCTGCGGGAACTGGTCGCAAAACACCACGCTTTAGGTAATTTATTGTCTACCAGCTGAGTATAATATTTAAAAAAAAACTAGCTTTGTTATCAGCGCTAGTGGACGATACAATAGAATTCGTTGAAAATAAGCTGTACCTAGAGTTATTGTTTATAGAAATCTACGAAAGTCATTAGCGTTTTCCAAAATCCTGTACCTAAGAAACTTATCTGCAAAATGAATTTAAAAAGCAATAAATATTATAGCAACTTTAATTTTTTAATAAAAATTCGCTTAATACAATAGGAAGTTCTATTTTTAAATTTCTCCGGCGGAATATATTGGTTTCGAAATGGTTTCAAATAAGGATCATATTATTATTGTTTTAGATACAAATAATGTATCTATTTCTGTTAAATATTGAAAACATCCAACTAAATTAAATTTTTCGATTATAAAATTATAATAGACCATTAAGAGTTCAAAAGTAGTAGTTTAATTGGGTAGAAAGTTTCATAATTCTGTAAATATACAAAAACAGAACCTTTCATTAGGTCTTGCCTTTTCGATTTCTATAAATTATAAGTTTATTTGTTATGATTAAATATAAATAAGTACATCTTTTTACCACTTGATTGTAAAACGTTGTTATCACTACTAGTACAGACCTACCTAATTGGCTTTGAGCTTCGAACACAGAACCCATAGCTCAGCAAGTCGGTGAGCTGTATACTGAGCCACGCGATTATTATTTTATATACGACCATACGAAGCTCATAAATTCTTTGTACACGGGCGACACAAAGTTTTTAGAAAATCAAAGTTGCTAATACTTATTGGTTATTGGTACTATTTATTATTCCTTGAAATAGTCTCCTTGTCTGTGCATCGTCGCATTTAATTATACCATTGAGATAAGTGGGTTTCTCGATAGAAAAAAAAACTGTAAAGTAGGCTCCAATTGGTTATCTGTCTCCATGCGAATAAAATATTTTTGCGAATACCTAAGTCTGTGAAAATATTTTTAAAGCATAGTAAATAATCTTATCCAAGTTCTCATAAACGATTTTTTAATTCTTGAGGCATATTTCTTAAAAAATGTTGTGTGGCGCTTACTTGGTTTATTTCCGAGCGCGTACATGAAATACATTGCATCCTCAGATCATAGAAACAACAGTTGTTTCTGTGATATGAGATTGCATCACTGTCATTTTGACACTCCCTCAATCGTCAGTGAGCTTCACCGACAAAGAGCTAAGCCACGCCCCCAAAACTACGATTAATTTTCGAGGTATACTCTTAAGAAGATGAAAGTCTATATTTTATAACCTTATCCGTCCATCATCCAGTAGCTGTGAATATTGCTTAGTGGCAAGAAAGACTTAGACTTATTACGCGATTCCAATTTGTTACGGTATACTGACACGTATATGTTAGATTTGAACACCCAGAGAGGCGACAGTGACCAGCGTCAATGATGCTAGAGATGTGGTACTGTAATCGCGGGTCCACGTCTACAAAGTGGCAAATGGTATATTTATTTTTTATTTTTGTAAACTAGACCAACAATTATCATAACAGTAATTACCGAAAGTGTAGTATCGGTATGCAGTAACACTTCTGCTTATAGCGTGATGCAGTTTTACAGGAGTGACCGAACCAAGACTGGGATCTGCCTCTGATGGGCACCACAGATGCCACACCACACCACAGTGCTAATAGATAGATAGATAGATAAATTCTTTATTGCACTCGAATCGAAACGAAAAGATTGGTACGAAGGCGAACTTGATGCCGAAAAGGCATTCTGTCTGCAAGTTAACCTTTGTCAGTATGGGTAGAGTAAAATTACCTTATATACATACACACACATGCACGTAAGTATAATATATTGTTACGAGCTTGCGGTTCGTGACAATAAAAATTGCCGATAAAATTACCTAAATTAACACTTTAATTTACTTTACACAAATTAAAGTTAAAAACACTAATAATTAAACACACTTATTCACTTTTATTCCGCTCCGAAGCTTCGCTTGTTTCGCCAAATCAACACTGCCCCCATCGCATCTTGCAGCGCCTATATATTTAAATTAGCAAAGAAATATCCAGAATGTTCAAGTAAACACGCGGAAGGTACCGAGCGTTCGAGTTTCGACTAGGCGCTGTCAGTTGAGTGATTTGTGATGTCATTTTCTCAATGCTCCCCTCGCTCTCGTTCCTGACACTAGATGGCGCTAGTTGACTTATTCATGCCACACTGCCCCCTCCTAAGACATGCTCGTCCCGAGCATTATCCGTCCCATAATAACGCGCCAAGCGATCCACATGGACGATCTTAGGAGTCCCTCTTGCGCCTTTCTGTATCCGGTAGGTCACATCGTTGATCCTGGTTACAATCCGGTACGGGCCGTCCCATTTAGCTTGAAGTTTAGGAGATTTCCCTTTGCTGCGTACTGGATTGTGCAACCACACAAGTGAACCTTCGTCGAACCCTTTGTTGTTCATTTTGCGGTCATACCGGGTTTTCATCTTTTCAGACATTTGCTGGCCCGATTGTCTGACGTGCTCATAAACGTCATTCATTTTTTTCCGCAAGTCATTTGCATAATCGGTTATACTGCGTGGAGCATCGGGTGGTATCCCGGTGATCAGGTCTGCAGGCAGCCGTAATTCTCTTCCAAAGTTTGCGAAAGCTGGTGTCACTGCTGTACTTTCGTGAACAGAACTTCGATATGACAACAAAAACGGTTGTATGTGCTTGTCCCAATCTCGTTGCCGATTGTCTACAACTTTTGCTAGGTACCTCTCCAATGTCTGATTAAATCGTTCCACCATTCCATCAGATTGCGGGTGATAAGAAGTCGTTCTTGTTTTATGAGTACCCATAACTCGGCAAGTTTCCTGGAATATTTGAGACTCAAAATTCCTTCCTTGATCGCTGTGAATCTCTAAAGGTACTCCAAAACGACAGAAGACTTCATGAACTAGTTTATCTGCAACTGTTGAAGCTTCTTGATTTGGAATGGCGAAGACTTCTGGCCACTTAGTGAAGTAATCCATCACAACCATGAAATACTTGTTACCGCTTTCACTCTCCGGAAACGGCCCCGCCACGTCAATGGCTATTCTCTCCCATGGTGCACCAACATTGTACAACTTCAATGCACCTCTACTACGAGTCTGAGGTCCCTTTACAGCCGCACAACTTGTACATTTGCGACACCAGTCCTCGACATCGTTTCGACAGTGGACCCAGTAAAACCGTTCTCGGATCTTCAGTAGAGTTCGTTTAACTCCCAGATGGCCTCCTGAACAATCATTATGGTACAGCTGTAGAACATCCGGTACTTTAACTTTAGGGACAACCATTTGCAAATGACAGCTGTCTCCCCGAACGTTTTCCCATTTACGACACAGAACTCCATCCTGAAGCAGCAAGCTGTCCCACTGGGCCCAATAGCTTTTAGTGGTCGAACTCATCGCTGAGACGTCACTCCACTTGGGCTTGGGAGCACTGGCCTTTATCCATTCCAGAATCGGCTTGATGTCCGGATCTTCCTGCTGTGCATGTAGTAAGCTGTCCTTCCACTCGTTGCTGAGGTGGTCTGCCCTGAGCATCCTCACGGATACCACTTCCTTACTCTCTTGCCTATTACAATGTTTGCAATCTTCAGGACAAGGTCTTCTTGACAATGCATCTGCGTTGCCATGAGATTTCCCGCTGCGATGTTCGATCTCAAAGTCATATTCCTGCAGTAGTTCAATCCACCTCGCAACTTGTCCTTCTGGGTTTTTAAACTGCAATAGCCATTTTAGTGCAGCATGGTCAGTTCGTAAGTGAAATTTTCGTCCCAGAAGATATTTGATAAAATGTTGCAACGACTTTACCACAGCTAGCAATTCGCGTCTTGTGACACAGTAGTTCCTTTCCGGTTTTGACAACGACTTGCTGAAGTACGCTATCACGACCTCTTGGTCACCATTACGTTGAGACAACACACCGCCAAGTCCTATATCACTTGCGTCTGTGTCAACTATAAATTCTTTGCTTGCATCAGGGTATCCCAAAATAGGTGTTTTGCACAGACGGTCCTTGAGCTCCTGGAATGCGATGTTACAACTTTCATCCCAGCAGAAATGTCGCTTCTCCTCGGTTAGCTTATGCAGAG